TTCAAAAGATAAACTTAGCATTTGAAGAATAATTTACATTGTTTACAGTGATAACAGCTCGTTAAACATCATACTCTTGAATAGGTGTCAATGACTGTGGTAGAACTTAAATTTGACTCTTTTAGGCGTCAGGAATGATTAAAATAGCACCTCAAAATACTGCCGAAAAATCATCATCCTGGGCGATTTCTTGGTCCCATTTTTTTTTTTTATGTACCAAGATTCATTGAAATAATATGATACGAACTTTAGATATTGATGGAAAAGCTGAAAACTGACTAATTATTGTGCAAATCAGGTAATTAATATGCATAGATTTCAATGTTAAACTAATAAGGTCTACACAATGTCACATCTATTTACCAAGTTTCATTGAAATGTGATTAGAACCAAAAAATTATGAATTATTATGCAAATTAGATAATTAGATAATTATTAATATGAACAGATTTTAACCCAAAACTGAGCATTAGTACACATTTAGTACATTTTTTGAGATACACAACATCCTTCGAAAAGAATGAAAAGGATTACATTTCTTACATGTAAAACTAATAAAATTCCCACAATAAATTGACTAATTCTAATAAGCTAACAACTATACTACAACTGTACTGTACTATTTTAAGATAATCTTAATAATGTTGTTGCGTTAAATTTAGGGGAGGTGCCAAAGGGATAGACATTTTGTTGTTGTTGTTTAATAATATTAAGAATTTGTTTTCATTTTCAAGTGTGGCACTTCTTTCTCTGCTGTTTCAAATAAGCTATTCCTTTGTGTCTGGTATCGTGAACATGTCATTATGAAATGATATTCATTTTCAATCTAGTCATTGGTACAGAAATTACAACTTCTCTTTTCCACTGCAGTGTGAGTATGTCTGCCTGTTTCTATTTTGAGGCAGTGGTTTCCCAATCTGAATTTTATCAGAATTTGTCGCAGTTCAATATTTTGGAGTTCAGTTAGGTAGCTTTCTAATTTAAACTCTGTTTTAAATATTCTATATGTTCTAAGTTTATTTTTTGAATGAGCATTTGGTCTGGAGTCATTATGAATTTCCTTTTTCCAAAAAAAGTGAAATAATTTTTTCATTTCATCATTGATGTTTTGTAATTTTTGTGGTGTTATTATTTCATGCAAATTATGTTATTATATATTTTACCACTGTCACACATCATGAAAAAATGATAAAGCAATTTTACATAAATATTAATTTATTTCAAGACAATAAATATGTGATATATTTCTCGTGGTTGACAATGCAATAACAAAACAAGCCACTAGCACTGTGTATATTTTCCCCCCAGATCTTGTGCCATTTTACCCCTAGATCTAGTACTATTTTGGATTAGTGCTATTCGCACTAACCACTAGCACTACGCCCATTTCAACACACATACTTGCACCTTGGTACGGTATATTCAAAATACCAGTAAATAAATGAATACGAGAATTATTCAGGTCAGCAGAAAAGCATAAGGAAATGTGAAATTAAAATGTATACATACCACAGGTGGTATATCTCTGGCCCACATTGTTAACCTTGTCCAGTTAAGACTGTGAAGAAATCCTGCTCTGTGTTCACCCAAACCATAAATGTAAGAAGTTGGTAGAATTGACGAGATTTGAATAAACTGATCAGTAAACATAAATGATCTTGTAATATTGGTATTAAATCTACAGAAAAATATATTCATAAAATTAGATTAATACACTGATGTTATTTTTGCGGTTATTTATGTATGGTAAGCAATTTTTGTGATATGAAGCTTCTAGTTTCTAGAACAGTCTGCCACTTGAGGTGAGAATTCACCTAGAGTTACCAAATTTAAAAGGACTTTAAGACGCATCAATCTATTTTGCTGAAAGTAAAATTCCTCATAATTTATTTTGTTGCTATATGCAAGTTTCATTGATTGATTTATTGTCATATATGTGTACCGTATATGATTACTGTAATTGCTTCAATTTTGCGAAGGAAACATTTTTCACAATTCAGAGGGTCAAGGAAAATTGTGAAATTTTGTATCCATTCAGGGAAAATTTTTTTTATTTCTACAGCATGTCATAAAATCGTGAAAATTTACATTTGTACATGGTTTACAATAATTTAAATCCTCAATAAATAACACAGTTCTACTTGTTTATAATAATACACAACTTACAAAGTCTCATTCATTCCTTGTCCCGAGTCAAATCTGGCTACTCTTAAACTGAATGGCTCATGCACGAAGTCCACTTCATAATTTGGACGAGGCACCTTCTTAGTAACCTTTGGTGTCTCGATGGGTACTTCATATCTCTGACTATTAGCATCATAAATCTGGAGATGAAAAACAGTTATGTATTGTTTTCAGATTAAAGTAATTTATGAATATTGAATAATTATATAATATTTAGTGTTAAACATACTCTCAGCCGAACTAATGCATTCCCTTCATCTTTATAAATATTTAAAATGTTCATAATTTGAACTGAAATGAGAAGTTTTAATTGGTTGATTGAATAATAATAATTGATCAATTGTTGTGCACTGTGCTTGTTGTATTCAACTGATATTGACATTTATAAATATTTATAAAAATGAGCAGAATGCACTACGTGGACAAATCACAGAACTGCTTGCCTTGTGTACAATGTATTTAGTAATGTTTTATAAATTTCAAACACAGACTCTTGGGAAATGGGCATTACCAAATAGTTTCTACAGCCAATGAAAGCAATCTTCTTTAGATTTGAATGAAGTATGAGGATTTTTCAAGATAAATGTTTGATAAATATTTTTCAATGTTTTTAAAAAATTATATTTTTGCATTATATCAATATATGCACTTTTACTGGAAATATTCCATTTTTTATCAAGAGAATAATGAACAAGTGGATCTGTCCTGAGGGCTGTTGGTGGGCCTTACATACGGGTCAGTCTGCGAATGTTCCCATGGTAATGTACTGAAGTCATGGAAATGCCAATCAGTGATGATACAGACTTCTGGACCATCTACGTATTTACATAGCAAATCACGAGGCCATTTTTAGGTCCACTGCCAAGTGCACTCTGAATGACTGGATTCCAGGCTAATTTGAGATGCACTTCTTCACGGCACATGCAATTGGGTGATTTACCTTGAAGTGTAGTCGAGTATTTGTTTCAAAATAAACATCAAGTTTTAACTGCATGATGTCTTTTGGGTAATAGCTGTGAGTGCTTCTCCTCAGATCACCAGTATACCCATAATCTGTTTCTTTCAAATTAGACAGACTATACGTAGGGTAGTCAGATGGATAAAAACAGTATGGCACATCTTGTGTAGGAAGTAGTCTACCTCCACGGCGGGGAGGAGTAGTGTGGTTTCCAGATGATTTAGGAAGTCTCCAACAACAACCCCGTGCTTCACATTTAGACTGAGTAACACCGTCTTCAGGAAAGCAGTCAAATCGAACATTGTCATCAACGTTGCACTGTTGTGTGTGGGCCCGTCCTGCGACCAGGAGGAAGACGACCAATGCCAGACACCGAGACATACGGACAATGGTGGCGATGATGTAACAGCTATGTGACGATTTCATGCTGAAAACACTAGAAGAGCATTCCCAGAATACAGCCTGTGAAGTAAGAATTGAAAATAGAAAAAAATGTGTCTTTATATTTCAACCCCGCCCACACTATTTGTTTTTATAACCATGGACATCCATGTTATAACCGATGCTAGCCCTGAGTACAGTCCTGTAGGTTGGCCTCCTTCCGCTGATCATTCGGCCCCCACAGTCCTGAGAAGTCGCATAGACCGGGGATTCGACACCCGCCTACAAATTTATGGCGGAGAACCGTTCTGCAGTTTACATGATTGTAACCAGCTAAAACATCTATCGATCAAATCCAGCGATCACAAATACCCTTTTTGTGGCCGAAAAACGAACCCTACAGCACTGGAACGTT